GCTGGAGGGGAGTGTGGAGCGGACAAGGGAGTCACGGAGAGAGTGGTCCCTCCGGAAAGCAGATAAGGGTGGGGAGGGAAAGATGTCTTTGGTGGTGGGGTCGGATTGCAGATGGCGGAAGTGTCGGAGGATGATGCGTTGGATCCGGAGGTTGATGGGGTGGTACATGAGGACGAGGGGGATTCTTTTTTGGTTCTTATTGCGTGGATGGGGTGTGAGGGATGAGTTGTGGGAAATGTGGGAGATACGGTTGAGGGCGTTCTCAACCACTGAGTGGGGCAAGTTACAGTCCTTGAAAAACGAGGACAACTGAGATGTACGGGAGTGGAATGCCTCATCCTGGGAGCAGATGCGGCGGAGGCGAAGGAATTGGGAATTGGGGATGGCATTTTTGCAGGAAGGTGGGTGAGAGGATGTGTATTCTAGGTAGCTGTGGGAGTCGGTGGGCTTGAAATGGATATCGGTTTCTAGGTGGTTGCCCGAGATGGAGACAGAGAGGTCCAGGAAGGAGAGAGAGGTATTAGAGATCGTCCAGGTAAACTTATGGTTGGGGTGGAAGGTGTTGGTGAAGTGGATGAACTGTTCAAGCTCCTCGTGGGAGCATGAGGCGGCACCGATACAGTCATCAATATAACGGAGGAAGAGGTGGGGTTTAGGGCCAGTGTAGGTACAGAAGAGGGATTTTTCCATGTAACCTACAAAGAGGCAGGCGTAGCTTGGGCCCATGCGGGAACTAATGGCCACCCCCTTTGTCTATAGGAAGTGGGAGGAATTGAAAGAGAAGTTGTTGAGGGTGAGGTTGAGTTCGGCTAAGCGGATGAGGGTGTCAGTGGAGGGGTCTGGTCGGGCCTGCGGGACAGGAAGAAGCAGAGGGCCTTTAGGCCATCTGTATGGGGAATGCAGGTGTAGAGGGACTGGACGTCCGTGGTAAAGATGAGGTGTTGGGGACCAGGGAATTGGAAGTTCTGGAGGAGGTGGAGGGCATGTGTGGTGTCACGGACATAGGTGGGGAGTTCCTGGACCAAGGGGGAGAAAATGGAGTCCAGATAGTTGGAGATCAGTTCGGTGGGGCAGGAGCAGGCGGAGACAATGGGTCGACCAGGGCATTCAGGTTTGTGGATTTTGGGAAGGAGATAGAAGCGGGCGGTGCGGGGTTGGAGAACGATGAGGTTGGAGGCCGTGGGTGGGAGGTCACCTGAGGTGATGAGGTTGTGGATGGTTTGGGAGATGATGGTTTGGTGCTCGGGGGTGGGGTCATGATCAGGGGGGCGGTAGGAGGAGGTGTCGGAGAGTTGGCGTCTGGCCTCGGCGATATAGAGGTCAGTGCGCCATTTCACAAGCTTCAAAATCTCCCCTCCCCCTACCGCATCCCAAAACCAGTCCAGCTCGTCCCCGCCTCCCTAACCTGTTCTTCCTCCCACCTATCCCCTCCTCCCACCTCAAGCCGCACCCCCATCTCCTACCTACTAACCTCATCCCGCGCCCTTGACCTATCCCCTCCCTAACTCCCCACCTACACTCACCTTTACTGGCTCCATCCCCGCCCCTTCGACCTGTTTGTTTCCTCTCCTCTATCCATCTTCTATCCACCTTCTATCCACCTCTCCCTCTCTCCCTATTTATTTCAGAACCCCCTTCCCCTCCCCCCATTTCTGATGAAGGGTCTAGGCCCGAAACTTCAGCCTTCCTGCTCCTATGATGCTGCTTGGCCTGCTGTGTTCATCCAGCTCTGTACCTTGTTGTCTCACTCTTCAGATCAGATTTTGTAAGAATTACTTCAACCCGAAGTTGACAAAGTGCATTTTCCCATTTTAAATGACTTGGTATACTTCACTACTCTTTATTCGAGTAATGCAACAGAACTTTGTAACTATATCATTATACAGTTTAATTGGCATTTAAACTGAGACAGGGAAAGTTCAAAGGAGATGTGAGGGACAAGTTTTTTTACACAGAGAATGATAGGAGTCTGGAACGAGCTGCCAGGGATGGTGGTGGAGGCAGATACGATAGGGACATTTAAGGGATTTTTAGATAAGCACATGAATATGCAAGAAAT